TTTATTTTATAAAAAACCCATCACCAATAAAATAAAAGAAAGCGCCAAAAGATTATTAAATAACCTCAAATTTATTGAATTGCATTGAATTTTTTTTTGTTGAAAATTTTACATTTTTTAAAATACTTTCAAAAATAAAAGGTAAACTATGAGTTATGACAAGCATGTCATCTTTACAAGTTATGACAAGCATGTCATCTTTACAATACTTATGATATAAAGATATTAATTTTTTAATATATTTTGTATATTAAATTTGTAAAGAACAAAAAAATAAAAAAATTGTTTGAAAATACTTAAATAAATTAAGTCAAGAAGTAACCAATCTTAACTAGAAAATTAAATGATAAAAAATTAAACAAGTCAATTCAAGAAACCATTAACCTTAACATAAAATATAAATTAGTCAAGTCAAGAGGTAACCTTAAAAAAAATATGAAAGGGCCAGCTTTAGAAACAACCAGTTTTAATAAAAAAATTTAAACCAGTCAATTTAAAAGATAATTAATTTTAATATAAAATCTAAAATAATCAAAATTATTAGGTGATTGGCCTAACATAAAATCTAAATGAATCAAATTGAAAGATGATGGGTTTCAATTAAAAAAATTTAAAATTTAAAATAATATTTAACTGTATTTTCTTCTCTCCTCTTTTTCCCTAAGAATTTTCTACTCTCTTTTTTTATTCTCTCCCAATTCACTCCTCCCCCTTATTGGTTTGGCAAATGACTTCTATTTATAGTATTAAATCTTATTAGAAAAAGAATTCATTAATTAATTTGATTATTTTTAATTTTTATTCCTTAATAAAAATCTTGAACTTGAGTAGTTTTTTAATTAAAGATCAAAATTTTGGTTCTTAAATCCCACAGAATCTCTTCCTTTCCTTTATGATCATAATAAAAAAGTTTCATTAAACTCAACTACCACTTTTATTTTTCTTTCCTTATGGAAGAAAATCTCGATTTTTAATTTTTTTAATTTTTCTGATCTTCATTACATTATTTAATTTCTGTAATTTTGGTCCTGCTTCTCTTCCTTTCATGTCATTGTGCTCCCCAATTTAAAAAATAGAGGAGTTAAAATCAGATTACGACAATAATCATAGCCATAACCTAACTAATTTGTAGCATATTTTAAGATTGCGATTGGACTCACAAATCAAATTAATTTTCCTGACATACAAATGCATCAAAACCCTTAAAATATCAATCTAGAATCTAGATTTTCTTACACATAAGGAAATTAAATCCATGAAAATAGCTTTTAAAAGAAGTAATCTATGAAATTTAATCATATGATGACCAATCAATCGACTGTATAAGTTCCCTGTGTATGATATTTTGAAATACTATTCGATTTTTTCTTTCCCTCTACAAATCTGTCACCATGGACAAGATCACCATTGCTTCTGCCCTTTGATGTCTGGTTTTACTCATTACTCCAAGTGGTAAGAGCTCCCCTACTAGCTATCTCAAATACATGCATTTTCTTCTGTTATAAAAAAGAAAGGTTCGAACTCGAGACATCAAGGGAGGAGGAAAAGAGAGATTAATACTAGTTGAGTTACAGTTGATGAACAACTTCATGTTCTAATTTGACCGGCATAACACGCACCACCTAGTAATATATTATTATTGATCGAAGTTTATTTTTCTCACTGGAAACCTGGCCCAAGTCAGACTTCAAATCCTGAATTTCTCAGGTCAATATGCTAGGCTACACAGGGTTTGACAACTATGACATTGTACATTGTGACAAATTTGCGGACGAGGAAAATGAAATACAGATTATTGGGGTTTTCAATTTTCTAACAAGGCAGGCATTTATCTCAGCTCTATACATAATAGAAATCTAGATCACTGTTAATAGAAAATTGCAAATAAATGATGATGTTACCCTTTGTTTTGCTATCCTCACCGTATCACATTTTATAGCTGTATTACCTACTCTATGAAATTTTTTACATGATCAAGATTTCTGAGCATGGATTCTGGCTATAATTTTATTCATATACTTCTAATTGCAGTGTCCTTTCTAAGAAGTTTCTGCATTCGATGCTTTCCTAGCAAATGGCCTCTTTATTATCTTAGACTATGCTATATAATCATGGGCCACTGATAGAATTATCTGAAACTAAGCAACAGCATGCACACGATACAGATGCTATATGCATCTTCAACCACCAACAACAATTACATATCCTTGATTTATGAAAACTAACAGGAATTCATAAAATTGTAATCTGGTTCCAATAAGGAGGACCATGAACAAATGGTCGAGGATTTTATCCAACAAAGCAAACGACACAGAAATATTAGTTCATTTATTTGGGAAATCGGTGACCCAAAGAAAAACCAAAGAGAGGCACGTTCACATAACATAGAGTTTCAAAAGTAGTTGCCACTATAGAAATTCTTGAGAAAATCAGAGGTGCTTGGATCCTTGGGTGATGAATCGTGCAAAGTCCCATCTTTCCGTAGGATGTACTGCTAGTATGTACTGGCCAATGATATGATGCCGCTGCTTATGATGTTCCACAATGTTGCCCAGCTCTTCCATCCCCTTGAATAGCAGCATATCAATCACCTACAGGCTATGACTATCAGCAAAATAGCGAGATTTTAATGCCACAATAATCTATAATAGCTACTCATATATATATATATATATATATCCGTCTCCTTGGTGACTCCCTTAAGGAGCTCTCACTCCTAATCAAAAGAAGCCCTGAACCAAAAAAAAAACAAAGGAATGATCTAATGCCCAACAAAGACACTACCAAATTTATTTTCGAAGCCCATCATAAACTTATTGGAATGAAGTAAAGAAGCAAATACACCCACAAAATGGTTGGAAGAGACTGGATAAGGAGGAAAAGAGAATATACAATGACTGTTATGATCTATTATCAAAAGGTTAAACAATCAAAAACTACTGATAAAACCTATTGAGCACACCCAATCTACTTTGTACAGTAAAATTGGTTTTGAGTTAGAACCACCTCCCAAAACAGATGGAAACAATAACATCCTTTATCAATGCACTGGTATCTGGTATCAAGAAATCGATGCTAACTCTAATGACAACTTGGTTGCCAAGGAAATACAAAGTCATCACTGATGCTACTGCACTTACAGTTTGGAGATGAAATGATATTTCCTTCTTTTCCAGGGAATCTAATGTTTTCCTTCATCTTTATGGAATCATTCTTGTAGCTCCTAATATTTTAAGAGAAAAATAAAGGATGAGTTTATTTTCTTTGTTCAGGGTACAGTGAAAGATTTTCGAGAAATCCATCAATGCCAGCCTTTTGGTGTTCTATGGCTCAGTAAGTAGGAGGGTTAGTGTTTCCGTACACCAGTAGTTGTTGGCAGCTTGAATCTCTGATTCCGACTACTGGATTCTCTGGCAGCAAGAATCAAATATCTTAAATTCTAATGTTGAATGGTACGAAGGACAAGGATTAAGCTTATAAAGATAATGTTTACGAACATACTACAAGAGAAGAGCACAGAGTTATTCGTGTTGCAAATGAGGGGAATGCAGACAACAAAGAGGGGGGGGAGTTGCAACAAAGAGAGAAAAACACAGCACACATGCTTTCACATCCTTGTAGTAGCTCTATTATTAAAAAGAAATGCATAAAGAAACATGAACAGAGAAACAATCCACATATTTTGTCTAACTTAAAAGAACAAATGGCATCACATATTTACCGACTACTTCAACACTTTCTCTCATTTTTTTTCCCACCCCCTCTCAATTTTCATAGGATCTGTAAATGAATTGAAACCTTAAGGCAGACAACTTCCATAAAGAATAAAACTTGATACTTCACCTAAAACACCAAGCACAAACACGGGACCATTTACATACATAAACAATAATAATAAAAAATCCTTACCATGCCTATTACTGACACTATTACCTGAATCGAAAACTCTCACTGAAATGAATCATACACAAACTTCCATTGATCCAATCCTTCTCTCTTTTAATAACTTTCTTCACAAACCCTAAAAGATTAATCCTACTTTTACCTAACATTCTTCCCCGGATATAACAAACATTGATTGAATGATTGGGTCCCGCAAATTCAAAGGCTGGGATTTTCCAGGGTGGTGTTTCTCATTACTGAAACTAACAAAAACTAGTTAATTTGAAATTACCACTACAACTTAAATTTTTTTTATTAAATTAATAATCCTTGATTAATAAAACAAGATTTTAAAGTAATTAAGAAAAAAATTGAGAGGAGAGAGTGGTGACCTTAGCATTGGTGATGTGAGAGTTCTTGCGGATCTGAGAGGAGATAGCGGAGCGAAGCTGAGACTTACTAACGACGTCGTCGAGATTGTAAATATCCATGACAGCCGGGAGTGATCTACAAGCCAATTTGAAGAAATCGAAGACTCGAGCTCTTGCCTCTTCTAAACTTCTCGAGTTTCCTGCTACCTTCATGACCCTCAATGCCTGCGCCGTCGCCGTAGCCATTGATTCAGTTCAGTAACTCCACCGCGCTAAAGATTGCAACTTTCTTTTCTTTTCCTTTTTTTTTTTTTTTTCTGTTTCAGTGTAGAAAATGAAAAACACAAAGCTAGGTATAGAAGATGACTGTGATGGGGTGGTGATGGAGCTTATACGACCCCGTTTTGTTTTCTTCAAAACTACGTGTCACTTGAAGATCAGACGCTGCTTCCCTTTTTCTTATCGTCCAAGTACAATGACGTCGTTTCAATACCATTTTATTTTCATTCCCCTCTCTGCGCAATTTTTATGATATTTTTAGCTTCCCCTTTTTTTTTTTTTTCACATTAGTACTTGTACACCAATTAAAATTAAATCATTTTTTCATATGATTTCAATTATTGAATAGTCAAAAACAGATCAAGAGAGGAAGCCCTTCATGATCCTTTAGACAAGGATAACAAGCAGCGCAGAGAGAGATCAGCAACTGGTCTGACAAACTATACATGCGAATTGGCAATATTAGGGTAGAGCAAATCTATCATCAATCATGAAAATATCCTTAAAAGCTCCCAAACCATGTTAAGAAATTGTCATATACAACAAATTATAACTCCACAAGGCTGCTGCATTGAGGGAGTCCCTCTCCAACTCCATTTTGAGAAATGTGCAGGTCAAAGGTAAGTGAATTAAGATATACTGTTCCTGCAAGGATTACAAAAATGCTTGTAATTAATCATCGTCAGGGCTGTTCTTGAACCCCCTACATTTCTCCGCATTCTGCAATAATACATGGTAATTTTGGTCGGTTGTTGGGTCCCGTGGCAACATTCTCAATCTTTCGGACAACCAAAAGACCATCTCCAAGTACCCTCTACATAAGAACAGAAAACGAAATTGAAGTTGATGATGAAGTGGAGTAGAATGAACTTTCTTAGAGGGAAACACTAGCACATATTAGAAAAAGAGTAGCACATCTACATGTATAATCTCGTGCACAAAACTTAAATCAACCTGATCCAGTCCAAGCTGAATACAGACCAATAATTATGTCAATTTGATTGCAGGGCTATGTCAGTTCAGGTTGGATTACATTTGAATTTTATATCAGATATAGCCAACCTGAACTGATTTCCAAACACACAGATTGCAAAATTTTCAACTGATCAATTACAAGGGCAAAGAGAAGCATAACAAAATCTTATATAAGAATTTGAAGACATACCCCGAATACAACATACTTATTGTCAAGCCAGTCACATTTTGCAGATCAATTACAAGGGCAAAGAGAAGCATAACAAAATCTTATATAAGAATTTGAAGACATACCCCGAATACAACATGCTTATTGTCAAGCCAGTCACATTTTGCACAGGTGATGAAAAACTGCAAAGGAAGAAGGTTCAAATCAGTATAATCATATTGTGTTCTCTGTGCATGTGTGTGTTGACTCATGGCTAAAACAGCAGAAAATAGAGAAAGTTCTCCAGAACTCTCATTCAATGCAATGGTGCTGAATCCTAAGGCATGTTTGGTTTGTCTGGCATTAGGAATAGTGAGGGGTCATTTCCATTCTGTGTGCAATATTGTTTGATTTGCCAATAACACAGATTAGGATTCTGTAAGAAATGAGAAATTTTGTTTTATGCAGAAAAAGTTACTATTTCTTGTGTAAAATTGGAATTGCATTGCAAGAAGTTTTGATTTCACATAAAATTATAATGTGAAATATATTCAATATGGTATCGGAATCCCATTCCCTTTCTGTACCCAATTCTTGAGGAAACCAAACATGTCTTAGTGGAAATAAAAGGAGGGATTAAAACATTGATACAGTATGCTTGAGTTTTCAATTGTAATATTAATTGTATCTGGGAGTAAATGTAGGGCAGGTAAGGGGGAAACAGCTAAGTACAATTTTAAAGATATGGCTCGAGCAAGTAGCAATCTTAATGGAGCATTATAAGGTTAAATATCCACCACCGTGCTTATCTAATTTCTATTTCCACCAAACTGGAACCTTGAACAACCAGAAAAAAGGTCCTTTCAAGGTTTGACACCCCTTTGCACGCACCAATTTACTTTGTAATTTTTGAACATCTAACAGCAGAGAGATTACCTGACAACCATTGGTATTTGGCCCACTATTTGCCTGCAAATGGAATGGTAAGGCCTTCAGTATTAGTGATATAGCACAGTCTTCAAACTCAAATAGCAAGGATATTTCATGATAAATCTAGTTAGGCTAGCATTTAAATATTTTGAGAGCTAGTGTTTATAGAAACTAGGGTTTTCATTTACAGTCATTTTAGTGACTCTGGACGCTAGTTAAGATGAAATCCTCATTGCCCCCAACATTCTGAGGTTACCCCACCCAAATTAGAATTTCTACCCTTGTTCTCCAAATAACCATAATATGACAAGCATACACGTTACCCCACCCAAATTAGAATTTCTACCCTTGTTCTCCAAATAACCATAATATGACAAGGATACACGTAGAAATTTGACATTTCTGAATGTTTTACAATCAGACATCCCAGAGGAATTCTTCGCTGTTGCTCTTTCACTCATATTGTCCTCAACGATCCACAACAATTAGGTGAGGCGCATGGATACTTTCCATACTAAGTTTTTCCCCTATGGTTAGACTTAAAGCAAAGCCATTCCATATATTCTTTTATCAGTAAAACATAAATACATTAAACAAGATCCCCATCGAGGAACACCACCTACTCAAGAATTATCATAGGAAGTAAAAAAAAAAAAAAGTCCTGATTCCACAAAAGAATGAGCCATAAATCTTGTCCATCCTGACAACAAAATTTCAAAGTCGATCAAACTAAGTTTCCAATACAGAATTAGTAGTTGTTATACACCACAGGATCCCTCAAGGTATTAACGCGTCAAATTATTCATGACAATTAACAGAGAACTATCTAAGAGGAGAGTCAAGGAAATGATACAAGGCATATGAATGCAGCAGTAGAAAGTGAGAAATAGCACGATTCGCCCAATACAAAATAAAAGCAACACGGGCCACGTTTATATACAAAGAAAAGCACAGACCATTGAAAGTAGACCAGGGCCGGTATGTTTAGCAACAAAATTTTCATCCTCAAACTTAAGCCCATAAATAGAAACGCAACCACTACCATCACCCTGCAAACCAAAAATTCCATTAATAACTAATAAGGTAAGCTGAAAACATTAAATTATATAAAAAAGAAAATTAAGAAGAAAAAACAAACAAACAAACAAACCTTAAGAAAATCACCAGCTTGAATCATAAAATCTTTAATCACTCTATGAAATTGACATCCTTTGTAACCAACTGGTAATCCAGCTTTTCTGCCATTTTTTTTTCAAAAATAAAATTAATTAATTACATAATCAGTGATTAATCAATCTAATTAACCATAAAAACGGGGAAAACATCGATAGAAGAATTTCTTTCACCTGTACTCGCCTGTGCAAAACTGCCTGCAAGATTTAAAGAAAAATAAAATGAAATTAATTTAAAAAATAAATAAAAAAGAAATAAGTTTGACGCAGAGAAGAGGGAAGGAGGAGTAGCAGGACCTGAAATTTTCGGCGGTTCTAGGGGCAATATCAGCGAAGAGCTCCATTTTGATACGACCAGCAGGGATGGTACCGATGGTAACATCGAAGAAGACGATCGGGTTTTTTGGGTTTGGTGGTCTCAAGTGCCACTCCACGCTGCCTCCTCCTGACGCCATTGAAGCACTGAAGTCTCTAGCCCTGTCGCTCTCTCTTTCTCTCTCTCTCTCTCTCTCTCAAGCTGGAGTGTGCGTTTAGATGAAGGTTTTGGGGGTTTATGTGGTGAATGTGTTCTACGCTGATTGGTCGGTTTGGGAGTTTATAAATATATTAAAATAATACATTTTTATTTCTTAAAATTTACTTTGGATAAAAAACCAAAAAAGAAATTAATTTAAAATAAAAAAAATTGAGATTTTTGGAAACTCCATTGAAACACCCCAAACTCACGTTTGATTCATATGTATTGAAGGTCTATACAATCGAGTCCTCTACCTTATTTTCAATCAAGTTTACTGGAAAATGAATTAAAAAAATGATTAAAAAAATATTATTTTTCAATGTGATTACATCATAAAAATTATTTTTGATTAAGCTAAAAAATAACATTTGTAAGTTTTAAATTTATTAATGATTGAGTTCCTTAATCCGAAAAGACTATACATTATTTGTATTTGTTTTTCTTCTTCGACGGGGAAGGAAAATAGCTTCGATTCAGGGCCAAGCAGTAGGTTGATCAACCTAGACTTGCTCCAAAATAATGTAATTTTTAATTTGTTTTTAATCAAATAATGTTGTCTGGACAAAAAAATTAAAATTAAAATTAAAATTAAATGATATTATTTTAAATAAAAATTAAACTAAATCTGTGGACTTGCTCTAACCATTTAGCTAGATCAACCTGGGCCAGCAAGTTAACCCATAAGGCCATGGACTTGACTCGGTGGCCAGGCTCCTCTTCCATTGCTAGTTTTTAAAAGAACAAAAAAAAAAAAAAAAACAGGAGAAGAATGCAGAGGCATTAAAAAAATAATAATAACAAGAAAAGAAAGAGAGCGGATTAATTATTGCAATTTTGTCTTTACAAAAAATAAAAACGAGAGATAAAATACAGAATTTGTAAAAGCACCACAAAAACTAGTGAAGAAAATAACTTAAAGAGAGAATCGGTTGGCTGAGGAAAAGAATAGAAATGAAATGATACAAATACACAGTTGCCTGTCATCACCTACACAGGCGCTCTCCTAGACTGAAGATTTGGGTATCTTGAACTGCTTCTTGAGAAACTGGGAGGCCTCTGAATCACTCCGGTGACATAATATCCTCAACAATGTTGGGGTATCAGCGCCTAGTCTGCTTCCACCGCGCTGCCTTTCCACCCCACTTATAGATTTCAGGTCCTCGATTAATTCTCGAGTCTGCAATTCAATTCAAAAGGAAAAGGTTAATCCGATCCTCTGGACAATATGCCAAAGCAGAAGGTACAGTTTTTGTCTGGAGAAGTCTCAAAGCAATGTTTATCCGTCTAGCGCACAGTACCACCAATGGAGTACAGTCAATTATCAGATCAACTAAGAATAGCTATTGTTTCCAGTGATTCAGATGGATAGATTGCTGTTTCTTGAAATAATGTTACCCTTTATCTTATTCAGCACCACACTAACTAAATTGTGAGGTGGAAAATCAGCCGATAGTAGACTGAGTTATCAGCACATCGCTCACAGACATGTTACCATTCTCCTTTTCAGCTTCTCTCTGGTGTGATAATAACAACACAAATTTATGAACAACTCCCACCTTCTCTTTTCATCTGAAGTGAATCACCACGGTGATCACCCTGTATCAGTATCATGCAAACTGAGGAACTGGAGCGGGTTCATAAAAATCAACTTCAATTATCACAGTAGATTTTTGCAGTCAAAAATCTCCATAAGAATTAATTGAATAACTTAAAACATGCTATAGATTGGCCGTGTCAATTTCCTTTCAGCATTATACTTTTTATCTTGAGAATATTTTTCGAAACTAAGCTACAAAAACAAACCTCATAGCTGTGCAACTTGATTACATGTCGAGCACGTGCTACATGGTTTTCAACGACTCCTCTGGGAAGCCCATCTCCTCCAGAGATAAAAAATTCCTAAAAGAAAGGGACACATCAATCAGCAGAAACAATAAAAAATAATTAGGTGCAGATATTTAAGAACAGGAAGTTGCTCATTTCGGACCATGTAGTTCACCAATCACCAGCATTTTTAATGAATAGGCAACAAAAATTGATAGCACATTTCACAAAGTTTAAGTATCCATCAGATTGTGACAATTAAACCACAAGGCAGCTTTAAATGCTTCCAGTCCAGTAATTTCATCGTTCAGGTGCAAGAATAGCAAAAATCGCTCATGGCCTATCAATGGTTTATCTCCTTTTCTTTTTCTTGCCAATCAAATTCAAAGTACAGTTGACAAATACCTTCAAAACTTCTACATCATCTTCCAATATTTTTGCATCACCTGTGCAGAAATACCGTGATGGTCCTCCATCCAATATAACTCGGAGAAAGCCATCCTGAAAAAAGTAACCATTTCAGTAAGCAACAAAGTCAAGCACCTGTTACATTTTGTTTAAAAAAAGAGGCACAGACCAGTGAAGCTTGTAGAAGACTCGTCACAATGCGATCTCTGAGGGGCTCCACAATGATACCACAGAGTTCATTTAGTTCCTGCAGCAGTTACCAGCGATGAGGCTTCTTATCAGGAAATAGATAAATGCAAAATCAAAAGGGATAACCTTCCTAAAACAGCACAGCACTTGACCAGTGTAATTAATAGGCTAAATATACAAGTTTATCATGAACGTTAGCCTTTTTCCTATTAAACCTAAATCCTTTTAATCAGTATTATTATACATTTATCATTAACAGTGTGTGCCTTAATTCACTTAGCATCTTATGACCCGGCTTTGCTCTTTCTTTAGCAAAAAGTTTTTAAAAACATGGTCAATAACACCAGTATCTGATTCTTCTTATAAAGGAAATGCAAGAAAATCTTGCTTCTTAGGAGCATAAATCTTACTATGTCAAGCGGTTCAATTATTGCTTCCAGCCTAGATTGAGGAACAGCGGGTTTATACAGATTTTCAATGAATGGTTCCTTCAAGTCGTAGAAGATGATCTTAGTTCCTGCATAAGTTAAATCACATCAATCAATATCAAGGTTACTTAAGATAATCAATTTTGCAGAGTGAGACCAAAACTCTTACCAGTAAACTCACAAATGCGATCCATAGCAGCATTTATATCTTTTCTACTGCCATCAAATGTTCCCTTCTGCTTGAAACTTGCTGAATTCTCAGCTATGGATTTCTCTATTAAGGAAAAGATTTATATGCCAATCATTAATTAAGAAATGATCACTTCTAAGCAAGTATACTATTTTATTCTTGCTTTCTCTGTCTCCACCGTACAAGTAATTAGGCAAACTATAAACTTTGGCAAATAACATCCACATACATGCAACGCACATAATATGCATAAAAGAGAGAGCTGTTCATTAGAAGAATCCAAAAGAATACATCAAAAGAAGAACTTCAATATTAAATAAGAAGGTATGACAAGAGTGACGGCAAAACCAGTCATCAAGATCAAGTGCTGCCTACTGGTGCAATGGTTTCATATTGCAGCCAGGGTGTTGTGGAAGCAGCTGTAGAGGGCAATTTATAACATCATGCTTGTTGAGGGTTTGAAAAAATTGTAAAACTAGAATGGACGCAGCCTAATCTAATTGATTCCGACAGTATTGAGCCAAAAGTAGATTAAATAAAGCAATTATGATTTTCCAAGAATAACAGTCAAGCAGTTTTGCCATTAAAGCTGAGAGAGAAATGTGAACATAACTGGTATGAGAAAGAATATACCTAATAACCAAATGAAGTGAAATGTAACAGCCCATTAAAGATCCATTACATAGGGCCATTGTGTTTTATAACATCCATTATCTAAATCCTTGATTTACATGCCTTATGAAATGGAATCTGAAAACAATTAGAAGTACAGTACACTGGAATGTTTCACTTGTTTTTTTTAGCTTGGGAGAGACAGATTATCAAATTTTAAATTGCAAACTAAACATTTAAAAGAGTGTCATTTCATTCAGGCAATCCAACCAGTGGATGGTGTGTATCATTCAATAATAACTTAAGACTAGTAGCTTAAATACTTACTGATAAATTGCTCACGAGGCTTTCTTCTATTCCATCGTTCCCAAATGCTATCTTCTAACTTATTCAGTTGACTAATTGCATACTGTCCATAGCAAGAAATCATGTGTCATGCATATTACATTATAAAGACAGCCAAAAATTAGTAACTCTGAAAATGCAGAAAACTAGAAAACCATCACTATAATAATTTGACCCTGCCATGGATTTTTAGGAGATGTTTGTGATACAGTGATTGCTGTCATATGCATAATTAAGCCATTCTGACAATAATTCAAATTTTACTGAAAAAAAAAATCACCACTGAAAATTGCATACTTTTAGAAGTTTTCTTTGTTTTAGTGTCATTTGTTACATTTCCAGTCTTTATGAAAAAAAATTTTACTGTTTTGATATCATTACATTACTCTCCGGATGGAGAATTAGAGTGTAGCACAACAGTTGGCTAAGCCAAAATGACATCAATTATTGAATCATGCTCTTTTTTCAATAATCTGCTTACTATGTAGCCAGGAACATCCATTTTGAAAACGTGATGGAGGAAATCAAGAAACTATCACCAAGCAAGCTATGAAACTCCACAATATTGCTCGCCTTGTTGAAAAAGGATTGTCACTTTAATATTCATGACAACAAACAAAGGATCAACATGCATGTGAAAATAGTGAAGTAGAAAGTCACAACTCTTCTATTCATTTCTAAAAGGACCATGCCACTGTAGTTGAACTTACATATAGAGTATTTAACTGAACACAAAGTGTTGCTGTCGCTGGAACATTAATTTCATTGGATTTTATCTCTTCAGGCATCCTCGACTCAAACAGTTCCTTCTTTACGAAGGCCTTTATTCCAGCTTCCTTCCTGTATCGTGTCAGAATAGGAACTGGTGGAATTAGGTCTTCCTTAGCAGCTGCATGGCAAGAATTGCACATTAAAGTCCCTAATCGTAGGAAGGGGGAGGGAACACGAGATAAAAAAAAAATGCACAGAAGGTGCAGAGAAGAATGTAAACTGGGAAATAAAGAAGATGGAAGAACAGGTTACGCATAGAGACATGCTAAAAAATGGTGATAAATTCAATCTTAACAAAATAAGCAGACAAGTGCAGCATCTGAGACAGAAAGTTAGATACAAGAATAAGGGAAAGAAAGGAAAGAGACTGACATGAATCCATTTTGTAAAAGCAGTTTCTAACTAAGAATATACATGTAAGATATACTCACCCAACTTGTCAGTGACATGATTTGCATAAACTTGGAATGCATTGTCAACACCCCGAAACAGGCCATTCAACTCTTTGGAACTCATTGGAACTTTAAGAGAAAAGAACTGATCAACAGTCTGTGTAAAATGAATATTGATTATGCAAGGCATTATTAATCAATGTCATCCAGAAGCAGATAAAACATTAGCAAAATTACACCCTACATGCAAAATCCTATTCTGGTCACAAGTTCAGAAACTAGAGGTCATGATAAACCTCCAAGGGAATTCCATTTCTTACTATCATATAAAACAAGTTTAATCAAAATAGCTGGGAAACTAGCATAGACATCTTTGTTTTTAAGCCTTAATTACAGTGATGCATTCCATGGTGAATGAAGAAAGATTAGATTCTAGATGTTTCCACAAACGTGCAATCAGCACACCAAAAGAAAAGGGTAGCCGGAAAAAAACACCTGACTTGCACAAAAATTTAATTATCCACAACTAAAATTCTCTTCAGTTCCTCAAGTTTTCTTATGTGCTTTTGCAACATTAGGGTTTTTTTTTTTTTAATTTGCATAACACCTTATGATAGTACTAGAATTAATACTATTGTTACATGAGCATTCTTACCTCTTCAACAATCCTATAAACCTCAACAATTGAGCTCCCATGCCGCTGTTGAGGTGATATTGGTTCCCACCGCTGAAAGAATGATTCACAGAAAATATTAAAATAAATTTTAAGTACATTAGTCAGTTAACTAAGACAAGGGAGTGAAAATAATCCTGCCATCTAATTCAATTGGAGTGGATTGACTAAATTCAAAAAATTGATTTTAAAGGAGTAAAATGAAACAAAATTTAGCACTTACCTCCTGTTGAATGGTACGCTCAACCCAACCCAAAATTCGTCCAAGCTGAGAATTGACCCATCGCATGACCAGTGTTCCAGATATAGATTCAATCTTGAGAAAGAAACAAAGGGGAAAAAAAAATAAGAGGTGATGGATATAGGAGAGAGCCTAATAAAGTTAAAAGCTCCATGTGTTCCGGCGTGAACACACTACAGAATTACACATAACTCATTGTTGATTTTTATCAAATGGATAAATATAAAGGGTTGTGTAAGGCTGGGGGGATTTGAGTCTGGGGTGAGGGGCTTTGGTGATCTAAATATTGACCCCAACATTCATCAATGATGATTCCTCACTTGTATTTTATTATAATATGATTTGAACCTAGGTTTCATAAGACATTAACACCAAGCAGTTATTTTGTAAGACTTACAGAAGCTCCAAGGGAAGCAGTTGTTTCTTAATCATGATTGTGCCAGCACATTTAATGTGCGTGCAGAGAGAAAGAGAGAGATTCCAATCTGGACTTAACATAACAACAACACTTTCCATATCAAATAGGAAACGTGGAGACTAGGATGCGTAGTTTATCTTCACTCTTAACAGTTGCCGAACAAACTTCAACTAAAGTCAAATAAAAGATAATGCTCGTTCATGAGTCAAGCCAAAAGCCCTCTAACTCAATATATTTGAGGGTTTTATAAGCCCTGAATACCAAGACAGCCTCTTCCACTTTGAGAAACTTCAAATAGTATAGCTATTTTCTGAAATTTCTAGAAATTAAACCATCTGATTCATATGATCTGATTCAATAGCACAACATTTGAGGCAGTATTTTGTCAATTGTTATTAGTCATGCTTATGTCTATTTTAACTAAATTTGTTTAGAGAGAAGAAGAGAGGACATTGAAAATTAAGAACAAAAGAACCTCAAAACATGGAACCAAACAATCTCACCTGATATGGAGTTAGTTTGCGGAATTTGACTTCCATATTCCCCTCTCCACATGCAGAAGTGATGAGTGCCATTATATACTGCTCAAGGCTATCAGCAGCAGGAAACACAGAGACAACATCCTCGGTCAGATGTTCGGAGCCATCAAGGAATGGTTTCTGAAAATAAGAAGTACAATTAGGCCTTCACAGTGTAAAGAAAGCACTCTGGAGTCTGGACTTTAAGCCAAGTGAACATACCAACTTGTTCCCATAGAGCTTGTGAACAAGTGATGCTGAAACAACAATTGCTTGTGGATTCCTCTGTGACAAAATTGGTGTAAATATGGTTGATTCTTTTTTTAGAAGTTTCTTTATCTCTTCTGCAAGCAATGCCAAAGGATGCTCATCCATTGCATCTAGTTTATCAACAACCACTAATATCTGCATTAAGAAGAAACAAAGATGACGGGAGGGATTAAAGAAAATTTGATGACATATGCTAAAGTTCAAGGGGAAAAATTTCAATAGTCTCAAGAATTTACAACTATATCACAATGCACATACTAGATGAGCATTGAGCAAATCTCTCAAGATAAAACACTGTTTTAGAAAACCCCAATCCCTTTATGTTTAACCTACCTCAATCTAAAGGAAACTGTATTGATACTTATTGCTTTTCTTTCAAAACAAAGAAGCTAGCCCATTGAACTAGTACAAAAAAAGAAAAAATCTTAATAGAGACGATCAAACAATATTCCAACCCTCCCATATCCCAGAACTTATCTTGAATCTACTCTACAGGTTACTGAAGTTAAATAAAAAAAGAAAAAACAATATTAAAGGAATCCATAGCTTTATATAGATTAGGTGTCTCCACTTAGAAGGTTCAACTCCTGGGTTGGATGCTCTGTAGTGTTCATCACTAGTCAGAATTGACTATTGATTGTCATTGTTGCCTTGGTGTGTGTCAGTGCTTTTAGCTTTGGATGTGATGGACATATCAAGTGCCGACAAATTGATTTCAAGAAGTGAGGTATACCCTTATGTACATCATGGCGACTCCAACCTATTGGCTTAAAACTCCCAGATCGGATTCTCTAAAATGAACAATCCAGTAGATCACACCAAGCAGAAGTTATTTGGTTCAGACACTCACCCTTGTAAATGCATTCTTAATGGATGATGCTATGAATGATTCAATCTGATCGTGATCCATGACAGATGTACGTTGCATTGCCTGCAGAAGTGTGGAAATTAACTTTCAACAGATAGCACATAAAATTCTGCAGCAACTTTTTTAATTCAAACTAAAAACTAGTTCTAAATTTTAGGCATAAGCACTGATAATACTCTCTTTCCGGATATGCTACCTGTGTAATTCTTACTTGAAAATGATAAAACGCGCCCCCACACACAACAACAAGGTTTTAACATACCATTTCAGATTCTTCCAAGAGAAGCCTCCGGGTAATCATTGCAACTAACACTACATCCTCCATTACTGATGAGTCCTACAAGGCACATAATAACTCATACTGGATAAAGAGTTCCAAATTGGGAAAAAAATCAGTTGAAAAGCTTTCTAAAAAAATATAAATGGCTACAAGTAATGGGAGAGGTACAGAATCTAAACATGTATGCACCAAAGGAGGTTGCCCAATTTCATTCAAATTCAATTCTCGACACATTCATAATCAATCATAAAAAATATATAATCCTGGCAGCATATTAATTCCTTCACATATACCAATTAAAATTAGAGTGGCCAATAAAAGCCACATCCTCTGTCAGTGCAACAGTCATGATTATGAGCATCCATTTTGTATATGCATCCATTCCAGGTTACAGAACCAAATAAAAATACTTCTTCTGGAAGAGTGTATAGATTTAACTTTAATTAATCAAGTGCCTGGCCGCCCCCCATCCCCAGCTCCCAATATATGCCGAGTCATGGGCATCTCTTATATTAAACATCCATCTCTAAATAAACTCTAAAATAGAGATTATCCCATTTATATTAAGTTATGTAATTTAAACTTTATGAATTCCAGGTATAGGACTTCAGATTTTTACAGGACAAACTCAAGTTCAATGTCAATTGTTTTTTTAAGTCGATTACAAGATAACTTATTTTCAAAGATGAACCAAGTGGAAATTCAATAACATTTAGGAGAAGAATATTTAAGAATGATATTTGTGAAATTATCTTCAAGCAGTCAGACCATGCACATCAATCATGTTGAATGCATCATGCACCTGTCTTATCGTTCTGACAAAATGAATATGGACAAAATCACATCTCGGGCAAACATGAGATATTGAGCTCAGGATACAATGAAAATAAACACAGAAAATAAAGCACTGCATACATTGGACCACGGAGTAGTGTTAAATATAAAGAGAACAGTTTACAAAAATATTCAATTTTCCTGTGCATGGAAGCATAGATACCCCAGCAAAATGCAAATTGTTAAGAAGAACAACGCATACAACTTAAAATTACAGATAAAATCTAACCAATTAACAAGTATAACTGAAGAACCTACTATGATAAGATCAAATATTCCAAAAGGTAATGCTAAACAAGAGTTGAGATTCAAACAATTTATCAAACCTCAGCAAAGTTCAGATGGTAGTCTCCTAGCTGCTTATCAGCCCATTTCTGAACAGGTGATAAAAAGGATTGAAAGAAAGGAAGTTCTTCACCTTCAACTTTGGAAAGCAAACTTTTCAAGTGTAACCTCTCTTGTGGTCCGCGTTGTTCTTTTAATGGTATTTTCTTCAGCTGCTCAATGGCATGTTTTAGGAGCCCCTGCTCTTGTGTGATGATATACTGCAATGAGACAACCAAATACAAGTAATATAAGATAATGATGATGGTTCTGCTTAGCCCAATGGCTGGTTAAACTGCAGTTGCTTATAAAATGAAAAGCTTAAAGAAGCATCTTAAGGGTTGTGATAGATTGTAATAGATACAAGATGAGGATGTCGAGCAATGATGGCAATAGTTATTTTTAAATTCGTATCTTCAGGTTTCTCAAGTTTAGAACAGTAAGAATATTGGGTTTTATATTTTCAGGTTGTTTTATTTTCTGTACAGAACCTTAGATGTTATGCTGAAGAAGGTAATCATTTTGAAGTAAACAAACAGAGACAAAAAGGGTCTGTTTGGGACTGCTATTGACCACTGGGTGATGGAGAATAGCTACTGTCAAGGAAAGGAATGTTTCTTCATTCCAGGATAACATCGTTGACTGCATGAACTTTTGGCAATTTGAATGTGTTTAGACAAGAGAAAGAAAAGGGGATACAGGAATAATACCTGACGAATTAATACCGATGCATAGCATGTGTAATGGATGGTTTCTGTAATTCCTAGAACACGCCAGGTTGACTTCAAGAGCTCAAGAATTTCCTCAACTTCCTGAAAATGGAGAAAAGGTGCAATTAATTATACTAGGTGGAAAAGGAAAAGGTTCACACAACCAATCATCCTTTTTTTTTCAAAAAATAAATAAATTGAACTAAAGTTATTTTAATAAATATCTCTACTGAAAAAAGCAAAGATGGTAAATCCAGAAATTAATTTCTCTGAACATGAAAATTTTAAAACAATAATTCAAGCAGAATGGCACAAAAGTATTCATATAACCAACCACAGCTAGGTGGTTGTTATTGTTGTTGTTGAGAAAAATGTTTCCTGGTATCATGGGATTATGATAAATTGAAAGAATTACTAACCTCTGTCAGCTTCCCCTCGTCCAAAATGTCAAAGACACTCAGAAGCAGTTTCTCATACAGTCTAACATTAAGGTGATAGCCATCAGCCCAATGGCATACCTCACCAGTTAAGTCACCCCGAGCCGGCCTCTCTGCAAGTGGTATTGCAATCTCTCTGAGAGATCTCAAACATTCTGTTCGTTGGACTTCACCAGCAGAAGATGGACGGAACTACATTAAAAATCAAACTTTATTTAAGAAAGGCTAAGGTGATAAGAGGGCACAAACAAAAAGCAAGGGAAAATGAACATTAAACATGAAAGCTTGGTATGTTTTAACTCAATAATAAAAGCTTAAATATGGCTAGACCAAAATAACCAAAGAGAGTGCATGAATATAGTCCTAAATGTTCAGGAACAAATAAAAGCATACCAATGCTCTGTTTATATTGCAAAAACAAAAACAAAAACAAAAAACAAAAGAGTATAATGAGATGGAATAAACTCCACCAAGAAACTAAAATAACGAACAAAAACACAATACAGTTTCCTCCAAAGTAAGCAAACAATAGAATCATGAAAGGGAAAGTAATTGATAGATAACCTAACTTCATTTATGTTATCTCTGTGAAAGGTCATCTAAGTTTGTCAAACAAGTTGTTCTATTGGTGTTTCTGATGTCAAACAAGTTCGACAAAACATAAAATTATCTAGACTTCTAGCCATGCTTCTCCTTTCCAATAAGTTAAAAAATTTACTAGAATTGAGGAGAATATCAAGCAAAGAGAAAGGAGATCTCACTTGAAAGGAATAGATGAGTATCTATGAACAAAGTTCACTACCAGACAGCGACCAGTTTAGAAAAGTAAAGAAAGGAATAAAAACATCAAAAAGATTCAACCATTTAGAACACCTCATAAAGACCCTAACTCGTTATGAAGTCCTCTAAAGAGAACCCTCCTATAGCCATCGTGTACCCAACTTAAGCAACCAACACTATCTAACAGTGCGAGTATGTAACAGTAGGGCAAATTTGTTAATGGTCTTCTGACAGTAGGACAAAGCAAGGAAAGCTCCATTTCAGTATCATTCAATGTTAATAAATGCACCATATGATAATCTTTTCAATCTCTAGAGCACGAACCTCAGATTCCTCAATCTTTGCCAAAAGAATCCTCAAATCACTTGGTTTGCGCCCAGATTCACCGAATCCAACAACTGGGTGATTAATAAGCCCCTCCTCCAGCATAAACAACTGTACTGAGACAAAATCAAAAATGCCTGTCATCAATAACAGTTCCATGGCTCTAATTTACCACTTAAAGGGAACTAAGACATTTAACAAAATAAATTCAAAATTAAAATGGCATAGAATGCAAAATATACCTGCCTTTTTTGCCACCGTATATATGCTTTCTTATCAGAAAATTCTGAACGTGAAATACAGCATAACAATTCCAGTGGAACCAATAGGGTATCCATTCGTTTTCCAACTTTTCCAGCAAGAGCATTGAGCAGCCCTTGTCTAGTTCTTATGTCCATTACCTCGGATATCTGCACTCATGTAGAACGGAAATTTTTTTGATATTGTCTTGCTTACAGTTCCGAGCTATGATTGGGCACAGATTACAACTTAGTGTATTAGCTAAGACAAATGTGAAAAATAGCCGCATAAGCATTATCTACTTAGTGATGTAGCTTCAAGACAATACAAATAGGCTCAGTGTAAACCAGTCAAAAGAAAGTGATACACAAGTCATTCATTAACCACACAGGAGCAGCCTCAACAATTAGAAAGACACATTATGCAAGGCAACTGGAGATGTAATTGACCTTTAAAATAGCAGGATGATATGATTATAAAAATCTGACTTGTAGATCTTTTAAAATCTCCCACCCTTCCAAATCTCTCAAACAGGACTTTAGCATAGCATATGTCCGAACTTCCAGTTCCCATGAGATTACTCGACAGCTATTCCTCAGAGGAGACTGGATATATCGTATTTCACACATTGGAAGTCAACAATCTACAGGGGCGCAGTTCCACCATATAGGAAACTTGACAACAAAGGTGGTGTAAACACCTGTAGTACTTTAAGCTCAACTTAGGCTAAATAAACTTATTCAATAGCTTAATCATATCAACTTTGCTGAACAGGAGACTTGCAACCCTGTGACATCAACTGGTTGAAAGCACTACCAAGTTTTAATGGCTGAAAGAAATTTGAACATGGTTTTTAAAAAGTATTAAAAGAACCAGTTTCTTCATTACATTCTCAAAGTGCATTTAGTTTCTAAACTCTCTCCTAAAACATTGTAGAACAAAATTTCACACATGGTTCTTCAGTTTTATTGTGCTATGGATACAAATGCATGAAATTATGTCCTTAACACTTACTTCAGTATCCAGGCAGAATCCTTCCAAAAGAAAAAATAACAAAACAAAGATGCTGTAAACACTACATCCACGAGGGGGGGGATCTGAAATACCTCCATCTGGGCACGCATGTTTTCTAGCAAAGCAACCAATCCAGTTGCACGCTGAGAATGGGTCACAGCATTCTCAGTTTTACTACGTCCAAGCTTTCTCATCAACTTGGACCTTTTGTCTTTCTTTTTTTCTTTTGATGGAACAATAAGGCCTCTGCTCATTTGATAATAAGGAGAAAAATCATTACACAGATGAAGGGTGAACTGAGGGAAACAAGAAAGGGAAAAACATATATGAAGAATGCAAGCACCATAAACACCTATGAATTTGAACATGCAGAAACACAAAGGAAAAGGTAAAATGAGGATATCTAAGGATCAAATGAGATTATGAAACTTACCCTGATGCTCCAGCACACGCCAAGAGCACTTCATATGCAGTTTCACGGAGGTCATCATCTGTGATACCTGTGATTAGGAAGAACCAAAAGTTAATTGTGTTGGCATGAATTAATGATTTCACCTTCCATTGCAATATAATAGTAAAAGGCATCATAATAACACAGACTTGACTCTTCAAATAAATAACAACAATACAACCACCACTTTCACATATAAAAAAAAAAAATGTGATGTTCCATGAATCATTCATGATCTTGATGTTGTAACTATCACAGCCCCCTCATTCTCATGATTACGTTAGTCAAATACTAGACATCATGAATATTTTTGGAATGATGGTAGCCATTCAGCCCATTTCGTCCTCTTTCTTTTATAGATGGTTCTACTAATTGACATGTTTCCACAAATAATTGACCTGTGAGAATCAGCAAGGACCACCTTGCAAGGCTAAATGCTCTTGGATCAAGTGAAAACTCTGGGTTCCCAGCATGCCATTGCACATACAATGAGCATTCTTGATATCATGCCTTGAAGAGGAAATCTTTTTTTTTTTTTCCTGTCCTCTTTCATAATTCTTTTTGAAGGGCACAATTGAAGTATAGTGTTGAGCAAGGAATCCATTTTCTGAAAGATCTTGGCTTTCATCAACCCTTCTATCAGCCAAAAATGATGGAAAATTTAGTATTGACATGTAAATCACTGGCTCAAGAAATTTAAATGGCATCCCTTATCCTCCTATGGCTAGTTCCAATTTGGATTTCCCTGACATCAACTTTACAACTGCTGCCCAAACAATATCTCAGTTATCCATTTTGACTGTTGTAGTGCCAGCAAATATCTTCTCGTTCTATCCATTGAAAGCAAATATCTTCTCGTTCTATCCTTTGAAAACATAATATGTGAAGCAACCTCAGGCCCCAGCAAGAGGTAGATACTAAAGAAACACCCTTTCTTTGATGGGCAACAACTACATCAAAGAGAACCAAGAGGGACAAGCAGCTAAATAACAAGAAACACCATATCGCTGTTTATACATAAACATGCATATGAATGCATGGACGGATGCATGTATGTGTGCATAAAAAAATAACAGCGCTAGATTCTAGAGATCAATAGTGTCTAGAAAGGAACCAACCAATCATCAAACCCAACAGAAGCAAATAGCAAAAAAAGGAGTTATTGCCAATATCTTCACTTTCATCTCAAATATAGAGCAGTAAACCCAATCAAAACTCTACTAGTTCACTTCAACCCAATATTCCAGAAAACACATCATGGTACTGTTCTTCACTTAAACAACTTCTTCCCCTGTTGCATCACCTCCAACATTGTCCAAATTTCTAAAGCACTAGAATCTGATCTATCTTCTCCATGTTCCTTCTACACATGAAGCATCAGCTGATCCCATCTCACTTCCTTTTAACTAAGTTTCCACAATTAGAAGCGAGAAAGAGGCACTGCTCATGAAAAAATAATGTTTTTTTTCCTAGACTGTTGGGGTTGTGACACAATTACTGATTTAGATATTAGCTAGTTGGAAAGGAAGATTTTGGAGTTCAAGGATTGGGACTTTATAAGGCGCAATTCCTCAATGCCTTATGCATGAAATGTGGTCCATGTGAAAAAATGCATATTTTTTAGGAAGAGACTGATATGCATAGTCTTCACTGCCAAAAATAAAAGGTTTCTTCTTAGACAACTGTCAATTTGGGTGCCCTTGTCTGATTCTAAACTTCTATCACTCTATCCTCTCAAGAATTTCAGTAGCTGTAGCGACTCAAGTGGAAAAGCCCTGATGAGTTAGATTCTTTTTAAGCTTCTCTTATCTTTCAATCTACTACTGAGGCAACTCTTGTATACCTCATTTGTAGCAGCGCAGTCACCTCTGTTGCTTTTGTAATTCAATTTGACTTACTAAAAATTAAAACAGTCAACTCATGAACCAGTATCCACATGGGACTTGATAAAGAGCTGCTGCCTTTTTACTACCATATATCCTGGAATGACCAAGTAAATGATAATTCATAAAGTGCAATAATGCAAGCCTTCGTATGTCAGATCCATGTAGATAGCTAAAATTTTGTTCATGTGAACAGAAGTAGCAAATAAATATAGAAATGAATTCTCAAACAGTGCCTCAAGTCCATATTTTACATCTTGCAAAACATGACTGACACAGTATTCCCACCCACAATTCATGGCTTTCCAGAAGAGGACACCATAAGTGCAAGCAGAAATTGAGATGGTCATTCC